CGCCCCAGGCCCAGGGCCTCGCTGGGTCCTGGGAAGCGGGTCCAAGCAGCCGCCTGTCCCGGGGAGAGCGAGGAGCGTGAACAGGGGCCCCCTTCAGACCACGTGCACCGGGAAGGTGTGGGGGCTCCCCCAGGCCAGGCCCCTCCTCCCGACCTTGCCCCACTGGGGTCCCCACATCCCCCCCGCAGGCTGGCGGCCCCTGCCCCCCGGACAAGGCCCCGGACGCCCTGGCTCTTGAGCGGCCGCCTGGCTTCTGGGGAGAAAACCTGTGAGGAAGCAGCTGTGCTCCGGCCCGTGAAACGCGGTGTTTGCCAACATGTGGTCTTGTCTGTTCCTTCGCCCCGGAGGACTGGGAGGATTGGCCGTCTCATCCAGGGCTTGGGGGGAAGGAGGCCCAGAAAGCCTGAGAGGAAGGAGATGCAGAGGCCACACTGGGCCCTGAGTGCATGGCGGGGGTGCAGGGAGCTGGGAATGAAGCTAGGGGGGCTGGGGCTGGGGGGCTGGGAATGCAGGGGGCTGGGAGTGCAGGGGCTGTGGGTACAGGGGCTGGGGGTGCAGGGAATGGGGGTGCAGGGAATGGGGGTGCAGGGGCAGGGGGGTTGGGGGTGCAGGGGGCTGGGGGTGGGGGCAGGGGCTGGGGATTGTGGGTGCAAAGAGCTGGGAGTCATGGGGGCTGGGAGTGTAGGGGCTGTGGGTACAGGGGCTGGGGGTGCAGGGTCTCAGGGTGCAGGGGCTGGGGGTCAGGGGAGGGATGCCAGAACCACACTCCACCAGCAGCGCGCTCAGGAATCAGGGCACAGGCCAGGGTTGCGGGCTCCACCCCCGTGTGGGGCTGCAGGAGGCAGCTGGTCCTTGGCGCTCTCACGTGGATGTGTCTGTCCTCCCCCTCCTTCCTCCCTGACATCAATAAGCACACACTTTTTACAAAGAAACCTGAGGGGAGGGGGAGGCAGGCTCCTTCTCAGGGACTTGGGCAAACCTTGCTTTAACCCTGGACCCATGCAGCCCGGCCAAGGCCAAGGCCAAGGCCAAGTCTCCCAGGACGAGTCTGGGCCACGGGCAGCCCTCGCTCACAGCCCGCCCTCTGCAGCGGCCGCGCTCCCTTTGGGGACAGTTGTTGCCTCTCAAGCAACAGGCTCTGCGGGGTTCGGGGCAGATGGACCGGCGCCAGCAGGAGCCATTCATCCCCTCGTCCCCCAGTCGCCCCAATCCCCTCCCGCCCACCCCACACGCACACACACAACTCTGTGGGCTGCACCCATCGGCCAGCCCCGCGGTCAGCGCCCTGGAGGCCCCGACGTGGAGACAGGCCTCCGTCCCTCGGCTGCAACGCTGCCACCAGCAACTTCTGCTCCGTCTTTAAGACGATTTAGCCGCTTCCCTCTCAGACCTCCAAGAACTGAGAGCAGCTTCCATTGTGAAATGTCAGGACGGGCATTGTCTTAGCTTGTTGCCTGGCGGAGCGTCAGGTGGGGAATTAGGCCTTTCTATTTCTGATGTCCCCGATTCTCAAAATAGGAGACGGTGAGCGGCGACGTGCTGGCCCAGATCGCCACCTCCCTCTGCTCCCCCCTTCCGCCCCCCGCCCTGGGGTCTGAGCCGCTACCGCCTCCCCTTCCAGCCCAGCTCAGAGCTCTGCTCACGTGCCAGCCAGGGTGCCGAGCACCGTCAGCATCGCCGGGACCAGGGGTCGGCCAGGTAAACCCGTGGGGTGGGGCCCCTACCTCCCCGCCCAGCGTCTCAGAGGGAAGAGACTGGTCAGCGTCCTGGTGTGGCCGCTGAAAGAGGCAGCAAGTGCAGAAAGCTCTCTCGCTCTTGTCGGTCACACCCCCCAGGGCTATTTTCCCGGTGATTTTTAGAGAAAGTGGACGGACAAGGAGGAAGAGAGAAACGTTGATGAACGAGACACACCCATTGGCTGCCTCCCACACGTGCCCCGCCCCCGCCGGATCATACCTGCAGCCACTCAAGGGCCTCCTGCCAACATTGACCTAGAACCGTGGTCAGCAAACCGCGGCTCGAGAGCCACATGTGGCTCTTTGGCCCCTTGAGTGTGGCTCTTCCACAAAATACCATGGCCTGGGCGAGTCTATGCTGAAGAAGTGGCGTTAGAAGTTTAAGTTTAAAAAATTCGGCTCTCCAAAGAAACTTCAATCGTTGTGCTGTTGACATCTGGCTCTGTGGCCTGAGTTTGCCAACCACTGGGGCTAGGCCTCTTCCCGAATCGCTGGCGAGCTCCTGTCTCATTTGCATCTGCAAACACGTGTAGAGCTAACGGAGGAGAGTTCTACCTGCGCCTCCAGCCTGCTCGGACCGGCCCCCAGCCCTGGGTTCTAGGCCGACCCTGGCTCAAAGTCACCGGCTTCCCGGCACCTTCCGGAAGCTTTCCCGTCCGCCAGTGGCGTGCCCAGGCGCTCTCCCAGGCCCTCTGCGGCGACCCACTTCCTCTCCGGTTCTGGGTCACGCCAGGCTCCCCATTAATCACAGTGACCTCGCTCCACGCCTCACCTCCATCCGCCCCGAAGAGGAGCCCCGTCTCCCAGGCCTGAGGTCGGGGCCACGCAAGGACAGGCTCCCGAAACGGTCTCACAATGACAGAGCCAGGATGCCGCCAGTCGTGGGGTCATCAGTGGGGTCACCTGGGGAGCAGCCACGGGCTCCGCCACCCCTTCTCGGCCTGTCCCGTGCTCTGTGAAAGCCGGGGACACTGAGTCCCAGCCGGGCTGCGCCACCCGTGGGCGCGGGTGCGGCGACAGGACTGTCCCCGGTCCCCCTGGTGCTCTGACCTTGGGGTGCAGTCCAGGCCCTGCCAGTGAGGCCCCCTCCCCCTCACCGCACAGACACGGGGACACCCCCAGTCACACAGGCCCCGATCCTCCTGGGCCAGGCTCACCCCGAGGGCGGCTGCACCCAGCACACGCACGGCCCTCCCTTCCCCACGCACCTGTGGGAATGGCACCGCCCCTGACCGGCTGCTCAGTGGTTAGAGCACTGACCGGTGCACCAAGGCTTCAGGGATTGATTCTTGGCCAAAGGCAGCCCCCCCTCCACCTGTGCAGGAGGCAACCAATGAATGTCTCTCCTTTTCTCTCTCTTCCTCTCCCTCCTTCTCTCCCTCTCTCCCTCCATTCCACTCTCTACAAATCACTGGGGAAGACATCCATGGATGAAGATTAACAAACAATGGAAAGGGCACCGCCTGCCTCCCCGGTTTAGCCCAGTCCCCCGGCCGCACTGCCAGCCTTGTGTCAGGGCGCCCCCTAGCGGCGGGCTCCGAACCCCAGGTCAGCTGGCTTCCCGGCTGCATCCACCGCTTGCTGGGTGCTGGCTGCGGCCCAGGCCAAGCCTTTCCAGCCCCGCCCGCACGGCCCACGGCCCTCAGCGTCACACGCACCCGCAGCAGAGAGAGCAGCACCCCCGGGGGCGGGAAGGACTCCCTTCTGTGGTCGCCCACCGGGTGCTCAGGGCTGGCGGGTGCCTCTCCCTCGCGCCGTGTCCCCGGGGGCAGTGCCACCTGAGGCCACCGAGGCCCTGCGTGGCGATGGCTGGTTTCCCGGGAGACTCCTCCTGGGGGTGGCTGCCCCCGCCCAGGGTAACGGCAGGGTGTCTGTCCAGCTCCAGCCCAGGGCCCATGGACCTGCGGAGCTGCAGTTACCCGTACAGCTGGGCCAGGAAGTCCTGGCGGTGGCAGACGGCCCCAGCTGAGCCTCCCGCCCTCCCTCACGGCTGCTGTCCGGGCTGGAGCACCCGGAATCCCACAGCCTGAGACCTGGTGACTGTCCCTGGGGTCTGAGCTGCCCATGCACATCTCACACACACACACACACACACACACACACACACACACACCCCGCGGGCCTGGGAGCCCGGCCCAGGTGAGGACGACTCTGCAAGGCCAGGGACCGTGGGGCTGAGTTAGCTCTTTACCGCCATCTGCCGGTTGGCTGCTAACGCCATTTCCGCATCTGCTCAGAGGAGGGGCATCGGGATGGCTGCTGGCTGCCAGCTTCCTGGGAGTGGCAGTGAGGGTCACGGCTGCTGAAGGACGCGATGACACTGCCCTGGGAGCCCTCCAGCCGCCCGCTTAGCCCCACCCCCCGGCTATAAACACGGGTCGTTTTCCAGTCTCTGCACCCAGGCCCCGCCTCACCCCTGCGCTGCCCACAGCCGCAGGGACCGAGGGGGTGGCGAGGCCCGTCGCTGTGTGGTCTCTACAGAGCGGACTCCCCGGGCCCCGAGTGGCATGAGCCGCACAGGGTGCGCCCCTGAGCCCCGCTCGCTCACTCAGGGCCCGGCCACGGGGCAGGAGCCCGAGCCCTGGGCTGAGGCTGGAACCCGGAGGCAGGGGTGGGGGGTGGGGGGTGGCATTGGACTCTCCATCCGTCCTCCTGCACGGGGCACTCCCGTCTCCGCTGTCATGAGTGACGCCGCCATGAACTCAGGTGCAGGTGTGGGTTCCAGCCCCTTCCACTTTGGGGGTGTTCCCAGAAGCTGGATCGCGGGGTCACGTGGCAATTCCCTTTAAGCCTTCTGAGCCGCCCCACATGGCTCCCCACGGCGGCTGCCCGCTCCCATCGCACCAGCAGGACAGGGGCTCGCTGCCCCTACATCCTTTGCCAACTGCTCTGTGTTTGGTAACAGCCGCTCCCGCAGGGCGTGCAGGGAGGAGGGAGGGGGAGAGGGAGGGCCTCACCACGGTGCACAGCGGCTGCCAGCCGAGGCCACACTGGCGTCTGTCAGCCGCTCTGGCTGTGGGGTGGACGCAGGGAGCCTGGGGCCGGAGGCTGTAGCAGGTCTGGGGGGGGGGGGGGGGGGGACAGGCGTGTGAGAGCGGCGGATGGGGGCGCCCGTGAGCACCCCAGACCTGCCGGCCTCGCCCAGACCGTGTCCTCCCTTCCTGGTCCTTTATTGGCGTCGGGGGTGGGACAGCAGGCGCGGGGAGCGGCTCTGCGCCGAGGGGGGTCGGCCTAGCAGAGGCTCAGCTGGGCAGGTGCGGACGAGGGGGTCCCGGAGCCACGTCAGAAGGACCGCTCGCTGAGGGCAGAGGGGCCCTTCTCGTAGTAGTCCTCGATGGTGACCCACATGTCCTTGAAGGTGGAGAGCGAGCACAGCACGGAACCGCCCACCCAGGCGCTGTACACGGAGCTGGGGCAGGTGGACACCTGGGGCGGCGAGGGGAGGGCCAGAGAGCGGGAGAAACCAGAGTCAATGCTGCTGTAATGGGGGCCGGGGGGCGCAATGGCTGAGCAGACCCGTAAACCAGGAGGTCACGGTTGGACTCCCAGTCGGGCACAGGCCCGGGCTGTGGGCTCCATTCCCGATGTGGGGTCTGCAGGAGGCAGCCGGTCCGTGATTCCCTCCCATCACTGATGTTTCTCTCCCCCCTCCCTTCCTCTCTGACATCAATACAAATGTATTTAAAATAAAATAAAATAAATTGGGGGCACAAAATACCAATTCCTGAGCAGGCTTCTCCCCTCCGTGCCCCCCCCACCTCCGTCCAGACGTTCAACAGTCCAGTCCCCCTGCCCCTCACTGCCTCCCTGCAACCTGGCCGTGGCTCACCCCACCCTCACGCTCCCTGCCCCCCGCTGCTCTGAGCCACCAGCACCCCCACGCCCGAATCACAGCATCGCTCCGCTGCCCCACAGCCTGCCCCCTGCGCCCACACCTGGCCGCCCCGCGCCTGAGCCCGTCCGGCACCTGTGGGTGGGCCCTGCTGGGTCAGCTTGTTCTGCTCAGCAGGGCCCCACGGTCTCAGGGGTGGAGGGGAGCCTTCCCTGGCTCCTCTGAGCTCCTCTGCCCCCGGGCTCTCTGCCCCTCGGACAGCAGCCTCTGGGCGGCCACGGGCAAGGTTCCCTCTGCCCCACATGGTCCCGCCACCCCCACGCCCCCTCTCCTGCAGGCATTTCTCCCCGGCACCTCCCAGGAGCCCCCCCTCCTTCCTAGGCTGCGTGGAGCCCTGCGACGCTGACGTCAGGGGTCAGGGGTCAGGGCACGTGGGCTTGCTCTGTCCATCTGTTCCCCCACTGGAAGATGAGCTCAGGGGGTGCTCCTTCTGTGTGCTGTGTCCCCCGCGCCAGACAAGCACCGGGCACCTCCGAGGCTTCCGGACCCCCCCCCCCCCCCGGGGAGCCCGCGGCGGCCAGGACCTGCCTTCACGTTGGTGGTCGGGGACACCAGGGCGGACAGCTCCTGCTGCATGCGGGCCCTCAGGCTGGGCGAGGAGCCCGTGCCCCCCGACAGCAGCACGTTGCGGAACAGGGTCTTCTGGAGGGCGGGGCTGCAGGAGCTGATGCTGCGGAGGGCGATCATGTGGGCGCCCAGGCTGTTCCTCCCTGTGGGTGCAGTCACCCAGCCTGTCACACCCCGCCCCTCGGGCATGCCCCGCCTGGCGGGCACCCCCCCCCCCCCCGTGGAGCCCTCCGCTGCTGAAGGGGGCGGTGGGGGGAGAGAGACAGGATACAGCCCACATACAACGTCAGCAGAGCCGGGCACACAGAAGGTGCTTAGTAAGAGACAGCTGCTCCAGAGGCACTTTTAAACCGGGCCCCAACTCGCTAATACTTGCTACTCAAAGCACAGCCCTCTCCCAGCCGCCCCAGCTCGGGGTCTGCATGTTCGTGCTCACCTGTCCCTGTCCTCCTGTCCACGTCCACCTGTCTACGTCCACGTCCACCTGTCTACGTCCACGTCCACCTGTCCCTGTCCGCCTGTCCACTTCCACCTGTCTATGAACACATGTCCATGTCCACCTGTCCCTTTCCTGTCCACCTGTCCACATCCACCTGTCTACATCCACCTGTCCCTGTCCACGTCCACCTGTCCCTGTCCTCCTGTCCTTGTCTGCCTGTCTACGAACACATGTCCACGTCCACCTGTCCTTGTCTGCCTGTCCACATCCACCTGTCCACGTCCACCTGTCCCTGTCCATGTCCACCTGTCCCTGTCCGCCTGTCCATGTCCACCTGTCTACGTCCACATGTCCACGTCCACCTGCCCCTGTCCTGTCCACCTGTCCACATCCACCTGTCTACATCCACCTGTCCCTGTCCACGTCCACCTGTCCCTGTCTGCCTGTCCACATCCACCTGTCTACTTCCACCTGTCCTGTCTGCCTGTCCACATCCACCTGTCTACGTCCACCTGTCCCTGTCCTCCTGTCCTTGTCTGCCTGTCTATGAACACATGTCCACATCCACCTGTCTCTGTCCTCCTGTCCACGTCCACCTGTCTGCCTGTCCACATCCACCTGTCCCTGTCCACGTCCACCTGTCCCTGTTCACCTGTCCACATCCACCTGTTCCTGTCTGCCTGTCCACATCCACCTGTCTACGTCCACCTGTCCCTGTCCGCCTGTCCACGTCCACCTATCTACGTCCACATGTCCACGACCACCCGTCCCTGTCCACATCCACCTGTCCCTGTCTGCCTACCTGTCCATGTCCATCTGTTCGTGTCTGCCTGTCCAACTGTCCACGTACACATGTATGTACACATGTATGTCCACTTGTCCACATCCACCTATCCCTATCCATCTGGCCACGCCCACCTGTCCCTGTTCGCCTGTCCATGTCCACCTGTCCGTGTCCACCCATCTGTGTCCACCGGTCCATGTCCCTGGTCCGTGTCCGCCTGTCCGTGTCCTCCTGACCACGTCGCCCATCGCTCAGCGGCCCTCCCGGCTCACCTATGAAGTCCGGCTGGAAAAGCGCCTCCATGCAGAGGAAATGCTCCATTCCGAACTCGACCTCCCGGCCGTCAGGCAGCTGGTGCTTATGCACCAGGGACACCGAGAGGGCTGCCGCCTTCTCCTTGTCGAAGTCCAAAGCCACGTAACAGCATTTCTCCTTCATGCCCCGGATGTACTCCCGGTCGCCTGGGGAGGAGGGAGAGCCGGGAGGAGGGAAGGTGAGCGGCTCACCCACTCGGCTCTCTCCTCACGGTACAGACGCTATTTCTATTTTGGTCTCGGATCCCAGCGCTTCCGGGTGGATGCGTGCTGCGGCCTGAGTTCGTGGACTAGAAAGCAGAATAGTGATGTCTGGACGAGGCTGCACCCGTCTGGAAAGGGTCTGGCCGGCGCGGCTCAGGGGCTGAGCATCGACCTATCAATCAGGAGGTCACAGTTCAATTCCCAGTCAGGGCCCAGGCCCGGGGCTGTGAGCTGAAGCCCCAGAGTGGGGTGTGCAGGAGGCAATCAATGATTCCTTCTCATCATTGATATTTCTCTCCCTCCCTCTCCCTTCCTCTCTGAAACCAGTTTATATGTATATAATATACTTTTTTTTAAGAAACTTTTTTGAGAACCCTGGGGATATTTTCCCATTGATCTTTTAGAGAGAGTGGAAGAGAGAGGGAAAGACAGAGAGAAATTTTAGGGAGATCCAAGATGGCTGCGCCCAGGTGAACACCTAGCCGCAGCCGCACACAACAATTTCAATAAAATACAACTAAAATATAAAACGGACATTGCCCAGAATTACAGGAAGGTTGACTGACTGGAAATTCTACAGCGAGAAGCAAGGAGAAAACCAGAAGGAGACACGGAGGAGCTGGAAAAGCCCAAGGTACGGAGTCGCAGTGTGCGGAGAGGCCGGAGCCGGAGAGGAGGGAGGCCGAGTGCCTGGCGGGCGTTCCCGAGCGGAAAGGAGATAAAACTTCGACTGTGCTGGGCCCCCGACTGCTCTGAACCCCAGTTCTATGCCAGACCCCGGGGACTCAGGCTCAGCCATAGGGAGCCGGGCTATAAGGCGGAACCCCAGGGAGAGGCAAAAGGAGGTCCCGGAGGCGCACACGGCGCGCAGAGAAGGGACTGTCGGCTGTGCCGCGGGATTGCCCTGACGGGAAGGAGACTGGGGCTCCAGACTGCTCTGAATGCCACCTCCAACTCCACCTCCAACTGAACTGAGCCCCAATACCGGGCTCATTGTGGGAGAGCATAGACTGTTTGGCAGCAGGCGAAAATCAAGGGCACCTTTCTCTCAGAGGCCCCGGCAGCGAGCACTGAAGGACCCATATAGGGCGGGGCTGACGGAAGCCAAAGCTGCAGGCTCCACCCTGAAACCCCGTCCCATCTATAACTGTGAAATGCGACAACAAAATAGATCACAAACAAAAGAAATGGAGGACAAAAAGCGTCTGGATATAGAGTTCAAATCTACGCTTATAAGGTTTTTCAAGAATTTCCTAGAAAAGATGGATAAGGCCTATGAGGATATGAAAAGAGATCAACTAGAATTAATAAGGAGTTAACAAGAAATGATAAGGGATCAACAAGAAATAAAGAATATATTGTCTGAAATAAAAAATATTTTACAGAGTCCTAAAAACAGAAGGGAAGATCGCAAGAATCAATTCAAAGATTTGGAACATAAAGAGCCAGAAGACATTCCTCCACAGAAGCTAGAAGGCAAGAGAATCCAGAAAATTGAAGATAATGTAAGAAACCTCTGGGACAACTTCAAGCGAACCAACATCAGAACTATGGGGGTCCCAGAAGATGAGAGAGAGCAAGATATCGAAAACATACTGAAAGAAATAGTGACAGAAAACTTCCCCCACCTGGTGAAAGAATTAGACTTACAAGCCCAGGAAGCGCACAGAACTCCAAACAAAAGGAATCCAAAGAGGACCACACCAAGACACATCATTATTAAATTTCTAAGAGCAAAAGACAAAAAGAAAATATTAAAAGAAGCAAGAGCAAAGAAGGTAGTAACCTATAAAGGAGCACCTATACGATTGTCAGCTGACTTCTCAACAGAAACCATGCAGGCCAGAAGGGAATGGCAAGAAATATTCAAGGTGATGAATAGCAAGAACCTACAGCCAAAAATAATCTACCCAGCAAAGCTATCACTCAGAATCGAAGGCCAGATAAAGAGCTTCACTAATAAAAAAAAAAAAGCTAAAGGAGTTCATCACCGCCAAACCAGAATTATATGAATTGCTGAAGGGGGTTCTTTCAGAAGAGAAAGTAAACAAAGATAAAAATTATGAACAACAAATACGTAACTATCAACAAGTGAATCTAAAAACCAAGGAAATTAAAGAAATCTGATGAACAATATTAACTGTTGAATATAATAGAATAGAGGTATGGAAGGGGAGTGAACTGACAATTCTTGGGGAAAAGGGGAGAGGGGGGCGTGGGAAGAGACTGAACATAAACTGTGCACCTATGGATGAGGACAATGGGGAGAGGGGAAAAGGCAGAGGGTGGGGTGGGAACCTGTTGGAGGAGAGCAATGGTGGTGGTGGGGGAAAGGAACATTTGTAATAATATGAACAATAAAAACTTATTTTAAAAAAAAAAGACAGAGAGAAATTTTAATGTGAAAGAAATACATCGATTGGTTGCCTCCTGCACAAGCCCCAACCAGGACCCAGACTAAGGAGGAACCTGCAACCATGGTACATGCCCTTGACAGGAATCAATCCAAGACCCTTTGGCCCACAGGCCTATGCTCTATCCACTGAGCCAAACTGACTAGGGCAATATATTATCATCATCACCATCATTACCATCATCACCATCATCATCATAATCACCATTACCATCACCACCATCATCATCATCACCATCACCACCATCATCACCATCACCACCACCACCATCATCATTACCACCATCACCAAAATCACCATCATCACCATCACCACCATCATCACCATTATCATCATCATCATAATCACCATTACCATCACCACAACCATCATCATCACCATCACCACCACCATCATCATCATCACCACCATCACCATCACAGCGCCATCATCACCATCATCACCATCACCACCGCCATCATCACCATCACCACCATCATCACCCTCACCATCACCACCATCATCATCATCATCATCACCATCATCACCACCACTATCATTATCTTCATTATGACTGTCATCGTTGATCAGTTAACTGTCCCTGGACACAGATGGGTTGTTTCTGGGACATGGATGATGGATGGGTAAGCAGCTTTCGCTTCAGGAACCGAGGGCTGTAGGCCAAACGAAGTGAAGGGGATTGCCGCCGGGCTGGTGTGTCCATCCCACCATCCGCCCCTACCTATGCCGAGCAGTGAGTTCCCCCTCCTGGACAGCAGCTGCATGAGGTACAGGGTTATGTCCTGGCCGGCCACATCCATCTGCATGGTGGACAGGTGCAGCGGACAGCCCTCAAAGACGGGCACGAAGTGGGTCATTCCTTCTCCGCATTCGATGGTGGTTCCTACGCAAGAGCACATGGCATTGCCATGTGGGGGCGTGGCACCCCTTACCACCCAGGTCGGCAGGAAGAGATGGTGAGGGGAAGGCTGGGGATCTGGGGAGCAAACAGTCCCCCCCCGGAGGGATGTGCTGAGCTGGAGGACTTCTGGGTCAGACCAGGGCCGACTCCAAGGGACAGGGAGTCTACAGGCGGGACAGGGAGTCTACAGGCGGGACGGGGAGTCTACAGGCGGGACAGGGAGTCTACAGGAGGTGCAGGGAGTCTACAGGAAGTATAGGGAGTCTACAGGCGGGACAGGAAGTCTACAGGCGGGACAGGAAGTCTACAGGCGGGACAGGGAGTCTACAGGCGGGACAGGGAGTCTACAGGAGGTGCAGGGAGTCTACAGGAAGTATAGGGAGTCTACAGGCGGGACAGGAAGTCTACAGGCGGGACAGGAAGTCTACAGGCGGGACAGGGAGTCTACAGGAGGTACAGGGAGTCTACAGGCGGGACAGGAAGTCTACAGGCGGGACAGAGAGTTTACAGGCGGGACAGGGAGTCTACAGGCAGGACGGGGAGTCTACAGGCGGGACAGGGAGTCTACAGGCGGGACAGGAAGTCTACAGGCGGGACAGGGAGTCTACAGGCGGGACAGGGAGTCTACAGGAGGGACAGGGAGTCTACAGGCGGGACAGGAAGTCTACAGGCGGGACAGAGAGTTTACAGGCGGGACAGGGAGTCTACAGGCAGGACGGGGAGTCTACAGGCGGGACAGGGAGTCTACAGGAGGTACGGGGAGTCTACAGGCGGGACGGAGTCTACAGGAGGGACAGGGAGTCTACAGGCAGGACGGGGAGTCTACAGGCGGGACGGGGAGTCTACAGGCGGGACAGGGAGTCTACAGGAGGGACAGGGAGTCTACAGGCGGGATGGAGTCTACAGGCGGGACAGGGAGTCTACAGGCGGGACAGGAAGTCTACAGGCGGGACGGGGAGTCTACAGGCAGGATGGGGAGTCTACAGACGTTCTTATCAAAGCCACACAAGGGCCCAGCAGCAGCTGCCTCAGAGGTGAAGGGGGAGGAGAGCGGGGAGCCCTCAGCCCTCTCCCGTGGGGACTGTCTGTGGGTGACGCGGGCACAGGGACCCACGGGAAGGCCTGGGATGGCTATGGAGGAGGCACGCAGGGCAGAGGGGCGTGGTGGGGGCAGGGCCTTGCTGTGTGAGGTGGCAACTCCTGGAACCGTCCACAGCTGACCGGGGATCTGGGCAGCTGGCCTGTCACCTGCTGAGCCTGGTAACTGAGAACTTCAAGTTTACAGGAAGGCGGCCCATGACCCTCACCCCCACACCAGACGCTTGCAGCAGGGGACCCCGCAGTGCCCCCGAGGACAACAGGCCCCACCCAGGCCTCAGCAGATGCATCTAGGGAGCGCAGGGCCACTGCCACAGCCAACATTCCGTCCACTCGCCCGGCCGGTGTGCTCAGTAGTTAGAGCATCGGTCTGCCCACCAAAGGGTCCCAGGTTCAATTCCAGGTCAAGGGCAAGTCGCCGGGTGACAGGCTTGATCCCTGGCCGGGGTCGGGCAGAGGCGGGAGGCACACAATTGATGAGTCTCTCTCACATCCACGTTCCTCTCGCTCTCTCTGACCCCCTCCCTTGCTTCTACTCCCTCTAAAAATTCAGGAAGAAGCCTGGCCAGTGTGGCTCAGTGGTTGGGTGTAGAGGAGAGAGCACAGGACCAGACCAGGAGGGGTGGCGCAGGGAGGAGGCTGGGGGCACACATTTGGTTTCTCTTTTCTTGCAGATGTGCAGGGAGGGGGCTGGGGGCACACATTTGGTTTCTCTTTTCTTGCAGATGCGCAGGGAGGAGGCTGGGGGCACACATTTGGTTTCTCTTTTCTTGCAGATGTGCAGGGAGGAGGCTGGGGGCACACATTTGGTTTCTCTTTTCTTGCAGATGTGCAGGGAGGAGGCTGGGGGCACACATTTGGTTTCTCTTTTCTTGCAGATGCTGCAGGGAGGGGGCTGGGGGCACACCTTTGGTTTCTCTTTTCTTGCAGATGCGCAGGGAGGGGGCTGGGGGCACACATTTGGTTTCTCTTTTCTTGCAGATGTGCAGGGAGGGGGCTGGGGGCACACATTTGGTTTCTCTTTTCTTGCAGATGTGCAGGGAGGGGGCTGGGGGCACACATTTGGTTTCTCTTTTCTTGCAGACGTGCAGGGAGGGGGCTGGAGCTCCGGGGCCGCTCACCCGAGGTCAGGCCGGCGGAGAAGAGGGACAGGACCCCCTGGTTGACGATGTACAGGGCCGGCATGCTGAAGGTCTCGAACAGGACCTGTGGGGGGGCAGGTGCTGCAGCCAGGCCGGGCCACCCCCTCTGCCGCGGCGTCCGGCGTGGGGGGGCCCCAGCTCCCCCGGGGATGCAGGGCCTCGGCACCGCCCGCCCGGGATGGTTCCCAGTCTGCTGGGCTCACACCCGCCCGGAGCCCGCGGCAGAGCGGCTCCTGGTTCATGGCGAAGGACGGTGCTGAGCCGCTGTCCCTGTGCTGGGGGCGGGGGGCAACAGCCCCCGAAGCCCCACACAGACTCGGGCGACTAGCTTGCTTCCTAATGACAGTAACGACAGGCGCGAAAGCCGTGCCGGGCCGCCGGCTCCGTCGGTTGGAGCCCGGCCCTGCGCGCCCAGAGGCTGTGGGTTCGATTCCTGGTCCGGCATGTGCCAGGTGGCCCTTTGCTCCCCGGTCTGCAGGAGGCAGCCCATCAATGCTCCTCTCTCATCAGTGCTTCTCTCCCTCCCTCCCTCCCTAACAGCAAAAACACACACACCCTGGGCTGAGGATTTTAAAAAAGCTGACAGCCGTGTTAACGGCACCCCAGACGCTCAGTCCTGATGGCGTGGTCAGGAGAAGGTGCTGCCTGTGCATAGGCGGGAGGGACGGGGGGGAGGGATATGTTTGGAGGGACAGGGCGGGAGGGATATGGGGGGAGGGACAGGGCGGGAGGGACAGGGGGGAGGGACGGGGAGGACGGGGGAGGGACAGGGCGGGAGGGACAGAGGGGAGGGACGGGGGAGACGGACAGACAGGGAGACACTGCTGAGAGGCCAGGCGGGGACCCTGCTTCTTCATCAGTGCATCTAGGCCCTCAGGGGAGGCGCTGAGGGAGTGACTGGCACCCGGGCACCAGCGCCCTCCCTCTCCCCCACCCCCCATTTTCCTGCCCAGCCCGCTGCGGCCTCTCACCTGGGCCATCCTCTCTTTGTTGGCCTTGGAGTTGGAGGGCAGGTCAGTGAGCAGCATGGGGTGCTGCTCCGGGGCCACGCGGAGCACCTGGTAGAAGGTGTGGTGCCAGATCTGGGGGGGCACAGGGAGGGCGGCCGTGAGCACAGCCCACCGCGGGCGGCCGGGCCTCCTGAGGACGCGGCCTGGCAGGCCGGGGAGCACCCCCCGGGAAAGGGCCTCCTGGTCTCCCTGGAGCGGTGCCCGCCCTGAGACCACGGGGAGCCGGGATGGGGGGGTCAGGCTCCGCAGAGTCCCTCCCACTGCCCACGGTGCCGGCCCGGCTCCTGTCTGCAGGCGCAGGCACTCCCTCGGGGGGGCACCGTGATGTCCGTGGGGCCTGCCTTCGTGCCCTGCAGCCACAGAACAAGCCCACGGGCATGCACGGCTCCGTCCACAGGCCGAGGCCCAGGCCGGTGCAGGCCCAGCAGGAGCCCACCTTCTCCATGTGCTCCCAGTTGGTGACCTCGCCCCGCGAGACGGGGTACGCCAGGTTGAGTCTCCCTCGCTGCTTCTGCACCTCGTCGCCGATGAACCAGACCTTCTTGTCCAGCCCCACCGGGTCCTGGAAGCCGGACGGGTGTCGGGGCGGGGCGGTACCCGCGCCGGCTGCACACGTGACCGCTGCGGCTGGCTCCCGGTCACGCTGGCTCTGTGGCCTCGCAAACCTGCCCCCCATTCAAACGCCCTGAGAGGTGTCACCAGTGACCCCCAGGGGCGGGCCGCGGGGGGCCACGGCTTGGTGGAGAAGAGCAAAGAAAGGGGAGGGGCAAAGGGACCTTGTGGGGGGCAGGCACCCGCTTCCACATTCACTTCAGGGGAGGGGGGGGGGGAGGGGGGTGCCGTCTGCCCTTTGAGGAGGAGGGCCCAGCCTCTTGCAGACCTGCCCTCGGGGTCACTCGGAAGAGGAGGGGAGCCAGGGGTCAGGGGAGACCTACGCCACATGCCTGCTGAACGGAGAGCAGAGGTCGGCCCTCGCCTTCACCCGTCCTCACTCCCCCTGCAGACCTGGACCCCTGCTCAGAGGGCTCTGCATGCTAGCCCGAGGGAAGGACAGCCCAGCCCAGCCCAGCCCAGCCCCAGCCCCAGCCCAGCCCAGCCCAGTCCAGCCCCCAGCCCAGCCCAGCCCCCAGCCTAGCCCCAGCCCCAGCCCAGCCCAGTCCAGCCCCAGCCCCAGCCCCAGCCCCAGCCCCCTCCCAGGCCCCAGGCCCCAGCCCCAGCCCAGCCCCAGCCCAGCCCAGTCCAGCCCCAGCCCAGTCCAGCCCCAGCCCAGCCCAGCCCCAGCCCCAGACCCGCCCCCAGCCCCAGCCCCCAGCCCCGCCCCGCCCCCAGCCCAGTCTAGCCCCAGCCCCGCCCCAGACTCAGCCCCAGCCCCGCCCCCAGCCCAGCCCCAGCCCCAGACCCGCCCCCAGACCCAGCCCCCAGACCCGCCCCGCCCCCAGCCCAGTCCAGCCCCAGCCCCGCCCCAGACTCAGCCCCAGCCCCAGACCCGCCCCAGACCCGCCCCCAGCCCAGCCCCAGCCAGACCCGCCCCCAGCCCAGCCCCTCCCCCAGCCCAGCCCCAGCCAGACCCGCCCCCAGCCCAGCCCCGCCCCCAGCCCAGTCCAGCCCAGCCCCCAGCCCAGCCCAGCCCAGCCCCAGCCCGGCCCGGCCCGGCGAGGATGCCGCTGTCGCTCACCGCGTCGTCGCAGCGGAGCTTCCCGAGGACGGTGGGGAAGACGGCCAGGGGCTCCTCTGCCCCCGAGAAGCCCACCTTGCTGGAGCCGGAGCCAAAGTCGCAGATGAGGGGCGTGCCCATGGCGCCCTGGGGCCTCGACAGGGCTGCGGGGACGGGACGGCCGTGCCGTGAGGCCTCCACTCGCCACGGACCTGCCAGCGTGGCCTGGCTCTGAGCGCACAGGCTGCTGGCTCCCACCCGCGGGCCGGGCCTGCCGGGCTGAGCCGCCGCTGGCTGCCGAGGGCCATTGGCTGGGAAGGGGCCTCCCCTGGGCCACTGGCACGGCCAGGCTGGAGGAGGCCGGCCCACGGGGAGCTCTGGGGTAACAGTCTGCCCGCCTTCCCTACTCCTGGCGGCCGTGGCCGGCTCCCGGGCTCCTCTGAAGCAGCCCCTGGCTCTCCCCCTCGCTGGACAGCGCTGGGAGCGTCCCAGCCGCCCCTCCCCACTCCAGTACCGCCTCCCGGCCGGCTCCCCTGCCTCCGGGACACAGACCCCCTTTCCTGTCACCGTTCCATGGCTGCGCAAGTTTAGAAAACACTGCAAAACCATAGAGGACAAGGCTATGACCACCCATGGCCCTGCCCCTGTGGCTGCCAGTCACATACATGTATCCAACATGTGTGTATTATCTCAGAGAGGGAGGGGGGAAGAGGGAGAGAAACACCGATGAGGAGAGAGAATCACTGACCGGCAGCCTCCTGCACGCCCCACACTGGGGATGGAGCCGCACCCCGGCCTGTGCCCTGACCGGGAATCGAACCCTGACCTCCTGGTTCACAGGCCGACGCTCAGCCGCTGAGCCAGCAGGGCTCCGGGTGACATTGAGCTGCTTTCACCTGTCTGTATCATTCACCAAAAGTAACTACGCTCAAAGAGGAAACCCTCTCCTTTAACCAGAGCTCAGACCAGTGCTCCTTAATCAGCTTAACATAACCCACAACCTTCGGACCAACTGCCAGTGCTTCTTTAGACGGATTTTCATTCCTTTTTAGAGAAAGTCCAGGTTCTCACCGCAACAGCGGCCAGCCCTCCAGGTCCCGCTGACCCCGCGCCAATGGGACTGCGGGGGTCGCCCCAGTCCTTCCCGCACACAGCCTGTACCCCTGCCCTGCCCAGCCCCGCGCCCCCTCAGCCCCTTGCCCAGCCCCGCCCTCTGCCCAGCCCCGCCCCCTGCCCAGCCCAGCCCCTGCCCAGCCCCACACCCCGCCCCCTGCCCAGCCCCACACCCCGCCCCCTGCCCAGCCCCTGCCCAGCCCCGCCCCCTGCCCAGCCCCGCGCCCTTGCCCAGCCCCCCTGCCCAGCCCCGCCCCCAGCCCAGCCCCCCTGCCCAGCCCAGCCCCGCCCCCTGCCCAGCCCCGCCCCTGCCCAGCCCCGCGCCCTTGCCCAGCCCCCCTGCCCAGCCCCGCCCCCTGCCCAGCCCCCCTGCCCAGCCCCGCCCCCTGCCCAGCCCCGCGCCCTTGCCCAGCCCCCCTGCCCAACCCCGCCCCCTGCCCAGCCCCGCCCCCTGCCCAGCCCCCCTGCCCAACCCCGCCCTTGCCCAGCCCCGCCCCCTGCCCAGCCCCCCTGCCCCGCCCCGCCCTTGCCCAGCCCCGCCCCTGCCCCGCCCCGCGCCCCGCCCCTGCTTTGCCCCGCCCCGAGGGCCCTCCCCCCTCCCCGTGCCCTGGCAGCAGCGCCCGGCCCGCACCTTGGGCTCTGGCCACGGCCGCGGCCAGCTTGGACAAGCACTTGTAGGTCAGGCGCCGAGACATGGCTTCCCACGGAAAGGGGCTTCAGCAGAGATCCCCGCGTTCCAGGCCCTGAAGGTGGGGGGGGGGGGGCAGAGCTGAGCCCAAAAACCGCCCGGCCCCGTACCCCGCACCTGCCCCCCCACCCCACTCCTGCCGCTCGCACCCCGCACCCCCCACCCCGCCCCTGCCGCCCGCACCCGCACCTGCCGCCCCGCCCGCCAGTGCAGACCGCCGCCAGGAGGCTGGAGGACTCTGTCCGGAAGGCGGACCGTCCAGTCCCCCCGCCCCCCAACAATGGCCTGTGTGCTGTAACAGCGCCTCCCCTGGGCCCGGCCCCTCTGCCCCCGGGAGAGGGAGAAGCACCCCAGCATCCACCCGGACCGGACCCGCAGGGGTGGAAGAGGGAGCACAAACCCTTCAGAACGGCCGCCTGGTGCTGACCCTCAGCGCGGACCAGGCCCAGCTGGGGACACACGCCCCCTTTCCCCAGGTCACTGCGCAGTAGGGACGGACACTGAGCTCTTGGCGGTGGCTGTGGGCTGTGGTGTTGTTTGGGTCCCCTGAGGGTATCTTTCTGTTGATTCTTAGAGAGGGAGTGCAGGGAGAGAGGAAGTGGGGAGAGAGGGGGAGGGAACCTCTCCCACAGGTGCCCGGCTGATTGAAGCTGCAACTCACAGACCTGGGGTGCCCGGGGCCGAAGCGCTCACCGCTGGGCCACCCGGCCAGACTTCACAAAGCCGTTTCCCCAGCTCCGGAGAACAAGCCTTTACACCTCGCATGACCGCCGCCCCCGGGCGCACCCTGGTTCTCCTGCGGGGACACTTTCCGGAAGGCCGTGGAAAGGAAACTGGCCACGGGAAATAAGGAGCCGAGGGGCTGGTGCGAACGGAGGGCCGCCTGGTGGGGCTCTGCGTGGGCAGGTGTTCCTGTCCCAGCTGTACAAAGGGTTCAGCGTTCTGGAGAAGATGATTAAGGAGTTCGGAGACGAAAGATAACTCTGAAAGGCATTGGGGGTCAGAGGATCTTCAGTGAAGGAGCTAGAAGACTCTCCACTCAGGACCCTGCTTTTGTTTACATGGTTTATCCTAAGGCAAGGTGGAGAGAATACACTTCCAAGGGGAGGGTCACAGAAGCACTGTCAGCTGTGCAGGTGTTTGGCCAACAGGGGGGAATTAAATGCCCTGAGCTGTCTGGCAGCAGACAATCCTATTCAGGTTTGGGGGAAGTGCCGCTGAGCTGTTTCCACCAGGTAAACTACAAGTGTGGCTCACCCTTGTTGAGCTGCCAGAGCTTCACAAGCCTTTTGGTGAGCCTCTTGTAATTATTACAGGCTGGAATTGGCTCTCGGCGGAAGGCCACTCGGACCCAAGCCAACGCGGGAGACAGCGTGGAGCCCTGAGCGTGGAATCCCCTTCACAGAAAGTGCCAGGGACCCAGTCCCATCGAAGAGAATTGAGAACTTCCTCAAAGGACAAGAGATTGGTACAGAAATTTTTAACGTGGTGAAAAGCAGAGAATTCAAAAGCAGCAACAGGGAAAGTGTGTGTGTGTGTGTGTGTGTGTGTGTGAATGTGTGTGTGGCTGTGTGTGTATGTGAGTAGTGTGTGTGTATGTGTATGTGTGTGGTATGCATGTGTGTGTGGTGTGCGTGTGCATGTGTGGTATGCATGTGTGTGTGGGGGTTGGGGGGGGGCCTGTGTATGAGGCCAGGAACAATCGCACCTCGGCCACTGCCCCGCACAGACAGCCTCCCACCGGCAGCAGGCGGAGGTGACTTATGTGTTTCTGACACTCGGTCGCCTCCCAGTCATGAACCTGAACTTCCCTACATCTTCCTTCCTGTCTCCTTCAGGCCCCTTTCCTCCCCCAGCGTCCGGGGCCTTTTCCAACACGTTCTTCTGGAAGTTAACGGCTTTTTTACCATTTCAGGCTTCGATCCATGTGGGGTTTTCTGTATAGTGTGAAGATTTTTTACAGAGAGGAAGGGAGAGGGATATAGAGTTAGAAACATCGATGAGAGAGAATCATCGATCAGCTGCCTCCTGCACACCCCCCACCGGGGATGTGCCAGCAACCAAGGTACCGGAATCGAACCTGGAACCTTCAGTCCGAAGGCTGATGCTCTATCCTCTGGGTCAAACCTGTTCAGCTTAAATATATTTTTATTGACTTCAGGGTGGGAGAGAAATAGAAACACCCATGATGGGAGAGAATCATGGACCGGCTGCCGCCTGCAGCCCCCACTGGGGATGGAGCCCGCACCCCGGCCTGTACCCTGACCGGGAATGGAACGCTGACCTCCTGGTTCCTAGATGGACGCTGAGCCACGGAGCCACGCCGGCCGGGCGGATTCTGTTTCTCCGAATATCCCGGGCGCACCCTGCCCTTCCGCCTCACCCCTAGGCAGCGGGCCGGGCGGGGCCGGGCGGGCTCTGGAGGAGCGCCTGGGGTTCCCTCTGGCCTCCCGGCTGCAGGGCTGAGGGGCCTGGTCCTGGGAGGGCGTCCTCTCTTCTCATTCTTGGCCCTTTATCCTGTTGTGGGTATTTAAACAATAAAACAACTCAGGCATTTTAACACATGTGCCAACTTACACACACACACATACACACTCACACATACACAAACACACAACACACTCCCCCCATACACACTCACACTCACACACTCACACACACTTATACACCCTCCCATACACACACTCACACACATACACTCAAACACACGCAAAAAAAATCATCATGATTGTGACTTCCTGGATGTTGGGTGCACCTCCCTGATATCTTTCCAATCTTCCTCTGCCCTGGCCACAGGCAGCCGCCCCTCAATCCCACACCCCTTCTTCCTGTCTGTGATGAGCCCCCCAAACAGCGGATAGCATCTTAGTGCTTGTTGCTGCAATGGAGGTGGCCTTTTCTCTTTTAAAATGTATCTTTATTGAAGTCAGAGAGCGAGGGAGAGGGAGACAGACAGACATCGGTGATGAGGATCACTGATTGGCTCCTCCTGCCCGCCCCCACCAGGGACCCAGCCCACAACCTGGGCATGTGCCCTGACAGGAAAGCGAATCGCGACCTCTGGTTCCTAGATCCATGCCCCACCACGGAGTCACACCGACGGGCGGAAAAGTGTGTTTTATTTTGATCCAGTCTTGTATCAGGGGTGTAGTTCTCCAACTATGACCCAGAACATTCCATAACACAGATAGCCAATTGAGGTAACAGACCACCCCCATCCCCCAACCCCCGAAACCAAACCTTCCTCCCTGGTCCCAACTGCCCTCCCAGAACCCAGACCTCCACCTGGGGCTCCCACCTCCATCCATCCAGAACCCGGACTATCAGGGCGGGGCGGAGAAGATTTTCCCGGGCCCCAGGCCTCAAACACAGAATGCAGACTTGTATCCTGGGTGTACTTCTCAACTTGTAACCCAGACCACCATTTCCACAACCCAGAGGTCCAGGGGAGGTACCAGACCGCCCCCAGGGGCCCAGATGTCCCTCCCGGGCCCCAAAGGCCCTCCCAGGACCCATACATTCGGCCGGAGCCCAGACCTAGCTCCCAGTCGC